ATATATATATTGAAATTTAAGCCTTTTGTATATATATATATATATATATATATATATATATATATATATATATACACATTATATTATGATTATTTCATAGGCGTTTAGCTTATTTTATTCATCATCATCATAATCGTCATCATCGTTGTTATCACTATTATTACAATTGTTATTACTATTAATATTATTTCAAATACGCCTACTATTAATATAATCAGAGTCTACAAAGAATGATATTATTAACATAAATAATTTTGTTAATATTATCATTAATCATTTTATTTATTTGGAAATACTAAACCATCTTCATTATAATGTAATCTTCCGTATACAGGTGAACAGGATGGATAGCTAGATCTATGGAAACTTTTGATTAATTAATTTGTCAGTTGCCATATTTCACGTTAAAGACAATTGCAGATGAAAGAGTATATACACACACCTGCTGACTAGCGAACAACATCTAAAATTGTCTAAATATAAATACGAAGTTGAAACTTCAAGCGGAATTGATTCAATTTAACATTAATAGCTTTAGACACCTTCAATGAGGGGGAAGGGATAACAAATTATCATCTAATATCAATGATCTGTGTTTAATTTCTAAACAAAAAAATACATAAACATACAAAAGTGTATATACATATTCTAATGTTTATTGATCTATATATATACATATATATACATACATATACATATATACTTATATATATATACACAAATTGTGAATGAAACATTAGAAAATAGTGTAGCCACTAGCAAAGCCTAGATCTAGGCTTTGCTACTGGCTACACATTCACTAATCACCCTTGCAGTCTGCTATTATGTAACATAAATTTATGTTGTTTCACCCAGTCATTATTTTCTAATGTCTCATTTACGTTGAGAATGTCCTGAAGACAGGACAAAATATTCGTGCCAAATAAAAATGTTCCTATAATACGTCAACTGTGTATGATTTTTTTTATCGTACCAATGTCTATATTTTCTATATATATAATTATATATATATATATATATATAACATATATAAGATTGCCTAAATATATAAAATTGCCTAAATGACTAGTAATCAGTAGTAAAAACGATTTTATATTTTTCCATAATTATAACGTCATTTGATTTGATTTGTAAAATTATTTTTTATCGTATAGGCCTACTCGATAAATGTTTATAGAATCGTGCTAATATGAAATCTTCTCTTATTTCTTTAAATTTCTAAAGTTGATTTTTACCTTTTTATCGTTAATCGTTATCGTCATAAACAGGCCTTAAGATAGATTATTAACACAGATTAATTAATTGTAAAAATCATGGGCGTCGATCGGTGGGGACACGTCTCCTACTTTTTAAAGTAAGGGTGCCATCATATCAATTGTCTCCCCTACGTTTCACCAAACTTCTATAGTTAAAACCACACTTTTCAAAGCGAGTGGAAAGAACAACTACAATTACGAATGACTGTCATGAATTTTGCCTATTAACTTGTGCTCTGTTCCAAGGGCAGTGAGTACTCCCGGATCCATACTGACTATACTTAGTAAAAACGAAAATTATTTGTTCATTTCGTTACCATCTCAGTAACCACTCCATCGATTTTATGGATGCAACGGTTATCAGAGGCGAAATTTATAATGAAAACAATGTACGTTGTTCAAATTTGAAGCATTTTTACAAACTTAAAGGTGCAATTTTTACTATAAACGATTTATTTCTTTTTTATATTATTAAGGCCGTATACTAGTGTTAAATATTATCTGCATACATAGATTCATGTTTTCCTGATTTCAAAAGAATTGTAGTTAGGCCTAGTCAATTGAATTTTATATAGTCGTTATTAAACAAAAATCACGGATAGGTCTGTCTATTTCCACTTATTTAATAGTGATACTACAAGTTTACGAACTCCGATGTTACTTGACGCAATCTGGCCATGACATCATGCAGGGACCCCGTGCCCCTTCCCTCACCGTCCCGCGAAAAATAAAAAAAAAAGAGTGAGAAAAAAATTAAGATGTGTTAAAGGGAGGAAAGAGGGAAAATAAGGAAGTGTCCCATGAGCTCAGTGGCGGTCACAGCAGTGGCTGAAAGAAGAGCTCGATTATTTTACAAATCACTAATTTTGAATTTTCTATTGATTTATGGCGAACACAACGTGACATTATATCCCCGCCGACGCCGATTTTTTTTCCAACGATTTCATAAAACCAGGATGTAAAATAGGAAAAAAGACGTGTAGTGTCCCCAACTAGAACACCTATCCATGCTCAGCCACCAACAATTAGGGGTCCCTGCGGCGATCCTACCCATAGGATCCTCGCTCTATAGCACCCTGATCTAAAAGAGCTTTGTTTATACATAACAGCATAATACCGTATGTCTCTGACAGGACATATAGGACATATATTATTCCATTGGGGATGGGGTGCCCAGCCGAGCAGCTCCCCCCCCCCCTACATTTGTCAAAAATAAAAAAAATCGAAATAAAATATTTCAATTTTAACTGTGAATGAGTGACATTTCCGAGCATCTAGGGGTGCCTTGTTCATAATTTGCTTTGCGACTTCTGTATAAAATAGAATATATAGGTCTATAATTAGTCATTTGCGACGCCGGTGAGGGAAGGGGGTGTCTAAGGGAGGGGATCATATCAGAGGAGGCTGCTTTGAAAAAGCATGTTATACCATCTGAAAATGCCACTTCCGAGCGTCTAGAGGAGCATATTCTTTCAAATTTGCTCTAAATTCTAAGGGAGAGGGAGCTGGTCTCCCGTCGGGAAAAGTTAATAATTTTGTAGATTGCTTTGAAAAAGCATTTTTACCACCTGTGAGAGGCATTCCCGAGCGTCATAGGGGGCGCTGTTTCAGTATATAGGGGCATATTCTTAAAATTTGCTCACCTCAGCCTCAACCATGGTGGGCTGGGGCTGAGGTGGGTATGTTCAACTATTTCTCCCACCCCCGTCAGAAAATGTCTGGATCCGCCCCTTCCGTGATAATGATAATTTAAGTAAATCACTTTTCATGTTAGTGAAATAAAAATGCTAACTAATGTTGTGTGTGCTTCCTATCTCCTTAGTCCTGTTTGATCGTAAACAAAAGTAAAACTCAAAAAGAGGAGAAAATGAACCGGGCATGATTATAATTACCAGGATAATAATATATATAATTTTAAAAAAAAATCTATTTTGATTATGTTGTTCATTATATTAAGGGAAAATTAGATTATGCTTTTTATAATTTTTTTTTCTAGAATTGAAAAGCTTTATATTACTTTTTTGAAGATAAATTAAAAAGCAAAATGTGTATAATTGTTCTGTTTTCTTTTCACATTTTCATTTATTATTTAATTTAGTGGGTGGCTCTCATTCTTGCGACATGGTCTTAATGAGAGTCTCCCAAATCCTTCAATTTCAATTTTCTTTTATACTTTTTTGTAACATTCTGTTGGATTGAATATATTGATTTGTGATTATGATTGTAATTGATAAATTGAAAAAAAAAAGAGTTATGATAAATATTTCAGTGATAGATTCAAAGGGCCCAGATGACCCACCCTCCCTATTTTTTTTCCAAAATTTAAAAGTGGAGAAAAAAGAAAATTATATCCGAATTCAAGTTTGAGAGTATACCATTCCCGGCCAACTAGAGGTGCCATAATCATAAATTTTCTTATCTCAGCTCAAACTATGGTGGGGCTGAGGTGGTCTAAACTCCATCTGTGAAAGTCCCTCTCTGGGCCCCCTCTATTTGGAATTCGTGGACCCACCACTGTATTTTGGAATTGTAGTGTGGAAATAAATGTTAATTGCATTCCTTAAAATTAATTAGATACGACTTATAAAAGGCTATAGACGCCAGAGCTTCGGGGTGGGGGACTTCGCCCACGGCCCCCGGTAAAGGCATTAGGCGGCCCCCTGCCACCGCCAGGGCTTGGGCCTACGGACAAAGACTGCCTTATTTTGCAATTCGCCCCCCCCCCCACCTGTCTCTTATACACTTGACGCCCTTTGTAAACTGAGCATGTGCAGGGTAAAAGCAGTAATACAAAGGCAGCGGTAGACTACCGTATGATCATGAAGTAATTATCATGAATACATATAGAAGTACATAGTAAAATATATGTGTGTATGCATGCTAGGGAATATTATCTATACCTTAATGTTTTAATGTTGCTAAGTAGACCTTAAAAATAGTAATATAATTTAGTAACTACAGCCAATAGTTGAATTTGTGCAAACAAACCATTAATTATAACTAATTACAAATTACTTTTAGGCCTATATACGATTTACTTACCGCCTCAGTATTCAGATTTATGTAAGACTACCAATTACAGGTAAACTGTTGCAATAAAAATATGAACTTCCTTAAGAAACTTAAGCCCAACATTGTTAGCATATATATTAAAACGTAACATAACAGTGCGGCGTATACTTCTTAATGAACGTCCTTTATTCGTGCGTCAAGAATTCGAAATTAACTCTCATTCAAGAAGAGGAGGTACGCGTCAATTATCCAATCAAAAACATCGTATTTTTTGACGACGGAATAAACTCTAAAGGTTTCCTTGGATACCCATAACAACTTCCAAGTATCATATTTTTAGATCAACACATTACGCAGCTATCGTTTATTAAAAGGAGAGAAAAGAGATCAGTAGTGCGTATCGACTATGTGGGATTATTTTTGAAAAAAAAATGACCCGCGGGCAGCGATTGTATTTTGCCCTATGCTGGAATCTCGAAATGTGATTCGCCATGCATGGTTTATAGCTAAATGGAAAGTGATATCGTATACCTTTTTGGCCTCAAACCAAGGATACGCTCAAATTGTTTATCAAATGAATGAATTGATTAAACTGTTGGAATATTTGATTCATTTTTTATTATTTAAACATAAAATAATAGAATGTATTTAAGGTTTTTAATAATATAATCAATATCATTTTGAACTTTAGTAATGTTATCTTAATAATCATCATTATCACCATCTGTGTTATTATTATTATTATTATTATTATTATTATTATTATTATTATTACTATTATTATTGTTGTTGTTATTGTTTTTGTTATTATTATTATCATCATCATTATTATTAGTATCATCAACATCGTCATCATCAACACTATCGCCACAGCTTACAATGCCACTGATGCTGCCGTCATCATCGACGTCTTCATCATCTTCGTAGTCATCACCCTCATCATTAGTATTTACTAGCATCATAATCATTAGTACCATTATCACAATATTATTATCCTCGTTAGTTATTTAAGAATAATGTTGTCATATGCAACATGGAAAATGAACGAAACTGCAACCAGGAATATTTAATTTAACAAGACACCTTATATATATATTGATTAAGTAATTAAAATCTTATACGTATGACGTATGCAAATTGTATTTCAAACAAAACACAATACGGTATAGCATTATACAAACGTGATTTTACGTCTAAAAGGAGAATTGAAATATACAACTGACAAACATTGGGGAGCGGATCTTTAATTAAGATACTAAATAATGAAAGCTTTGTATTTAATTAACTATCGAATCAAATTTGAGACGATATCGCCACTATTGAAACGAGATACAAGTTGCCATGCAACGAATAAAGCGTATTAGTGTCAAAAGCTATTCTACTGGTGCTTGTTAGGTGTAAGCTCCATGTGGTCGCCCCTAAAGCAGTTTTACAATTTGTTGAAAGCTGCAACATTTAAGAAGCCAGCATTTACCATTTGGTGAATGCTGGCTTTTGAAATCTATTATTCATACTGTTCAATATTGACACGTATTCTTGCGAAAATAATAGGCCTATGTCTAATAATTGTTACTCAATTATTTTTCATCAAAATTAACTCCGCTCTTTTATTTACCTATGAGGGGGTACTCTTGTTCAACGTCACACGTCAATATGACTAAAGCCTCATTCTCACCAAATCCAAATTTTCGGATCGGAAGGCCCTCTTAATCGATCAGATTTTCGAATCAGTGTGTATTGAATAATAATGGACGCTGGTGTTCAGTGCATCGGAAACGCGGTCTGATTTTCGTTTTGCATCAGATGTGAATGCAGCCTGTTTTCCGAATCGAAAGCTCTGATTGGTTGTCAATTTTTCGCTTTGTAAAAAGTAGGAAAACTCAGATAGAAATGTGACTACATATGCGCATGAACCGACGTTTTCGATTCGCGCGAATAAATTCGCCTAGTGGAAAAACAGGATTAAAACGAGGCGCGCGCGATCCTCTTAGACTGCCACTGACAAAAAAAAACAAAAAAAAAAAAAAAAAAAAAGGGGACAAAAAAAAAAAAAAAAAAAACGGCGACGCGTCGCCAATCATTCAATATAGATAGCATGAGTATATCAATATAAATGTATTAAATTAATTGGATCCCAGTATTGATAGACTTACATGAATGTTAATTAGACCTATTGATTCATCAGCCAGTGTAGGCCTATATAAAGGGCTTTCATTATTCTCTAGGTAGGATGAACTTGAAGAGAAAATTTATTTTATAGTTTTGAAATGAACATCAACAATCAAACCAAGAGCTGAAAGTGGTAACAAGCTAAACTAAAATAATAATAATAATAATAATAATAATAATAATAATAATAAAAATAATAATAATAAAAATAATAATAATAGTATAATAAGGGCATCAAAACCAAATTACTTAAAAGGACCCAGAGAAGCTCAATGGTGAAACGTTATCCGTATTAAAATGATGTATGCTTACATGTATCATAATTGATTTTACCAGACTGTAGAAGTAACGTTAACACATTAACAAACTTAGAAAAACATGGTCTCTTACGTAGTAAGACCACTATCACGTCAACCGTAATAAACCGGGAAATTGTGTGAATTTCATATCGAATATCGTAGTTAAATGTGGTTCCTCAGGCGACGAGCATGCGTCAGTTTGGCCTACACCTCATCCCTACAGCAACGTCTGTATTGAAATTCTATTCTTCACACTGGCTTACAGTCAGTTCTTGTTCTTCATCCTTTAAAGATTCAACAAGAAGTTATTACAGACAGAGACAAACAAAAATAATTGGTAACGTGAAAACTGTGAATTGTGTAGGCCTGTGGCGAAAAAGCAACATGCGCGAAATAGGCTGCTAAAGACAACAGCCGATGCATGATGACACACATCTTCTTGGAAAGCGAATTTCTTTCTGACAAAAATACAGATATGTGAACCAGCCGATTTTTAGATAGCATCTTTAATAACTCAATAAAAAATCATAAATTTATATCACTGTTGGTTTTAAAAAATGTTTAAATACTTATTCAAAATTAGCTATTACTAACATATTATATCATTAATGACTGTTTTTGTATTAAATATTTTATTATTTTGCTTCAATGAAACATTTTGTTCAAAAAATTACCAGAAAATAAACATTTCTGCCCTTTGTTTAATAATACCAGGTATTATAATAACTTTCTATTTAATATCTTCCAAACTGCTGGTAGTAGGGACTAAAAATTCAAGTTTTCATTTTTGTTAATTTACTATGATATCAATGACTCCTGAAAACAGCATAAAATATGAAATATCAATAAAGAAAACATTGTTACGTTGCTGTATCTGTAGGCAGTTGAAATTTAAACTGTATCACTGAATCGATTACTTATAACAACAAATTTGTGTGTACCCATTTACTTGATATCCAGGCTAATTAGCAAGACTTTTCAAAACACATTAGTTGATTGTGTAAAACGATGTTTTCTTAACTTAAGCCTATAACTTTTTATAGACATACTTTTAATGAAAAGACGGTCATCAATGTATTAACAAAGAAAACTTGATTGTAAGTCTCTAGCAACAGTTATGAAGATATTGACAAGCCACTTAACTGAAATTAAAGACCAGAAATGTATACGTTTTGGTTATTTTGGAACAAAGTTTGGATTAAACTAAAAAATTAAAATATGTATGTTCTAAGCAATAAATTATCTAACAATTTTTGGGTGCCCAAATATGAATGCAATTTATTACTGAGATGGCCATTTTGAATTCAAAAGTTCCACGATAATAATAGACGTTAAATTAATACACAGCATTTTATTAGAATTTATACATATATAAAGATAATTTGTGTCAAGCTTCGGTAATTGCACGACTGAACCACTTAGCTGTTCAATTAATAAATGTGTTTTAACGTTGAAGTTTATGCAACTAAATTACTAAGTTCATTCACTCT